ATAGTTAAAATAATTATATATTTATTATTAATGTGTAATGAACATTTAAATATTAGGATAGCTATGTCTACAAAATCGGGCATTTTATTTAGAAACGTTTATAAATCAAAAGCAGTTATAGGACAAAATAATTATTTAGTCTCAATAATAATAATCAACTAAAACTATATATTAAAATATTAATAAAAATAGTTAAAAGACAAACATATTGAATTATAGTTTATTTACCTCAAAATGATAGGTAATAAATACATCATTTATCGGGATCGATAACATTTCAATAACATAAATACAAATACTAAAAGAATAACAATTTGAAAAACAAAATTTCTAAAACATTAACATATTTTTGTAATGACAATTTTTTAAAATACCATTTGAATTTCAAAATAGAATTAATATTAAAGACCTTTTAAAAACAACCAAATATAACAAATCACAACAAATAAAAACCATCCAACGATAACAAATAAATTAAAAGAGGTTCAAAATTTACAATAATAATTGTCAGAACGTGATACACACAACACAAATTATAACAAAATCAACTTTGCCATGAAACAAAACAAAGAAAACAATCATATTTTTTTCACGCCAAAAAATTAAAAACGTTCGTGAGTAAAAATATTTCAGTCTTTTTTAACATCATTTTTGTAAAGATTTGAACTGTTTTGGTTTTTTGATTGCAACAAACCGATTTGACAAAAAAATACAAAAACATCAATTTATATAGTTTGGTTTTTAGTAAAATTTACTAAAATTGAAACTATATATTTTATAAAAAAAAATTCTAACACTTTTACAATATTAATTGAAATAAATATTGTTTGAACGCTTAAATCTGGCACAAATGAATTTAGGAAACCCGCATTCGTTTTTTCTTTTTCTTTTAATTTACAATCATTTACTAAAAATACGTTTTTGCTTTAAAAACATCAGACAATTAACAGATATCGTGCTGCAGCAATTGGAGATGTTTATGATGCAAGGAACTTGGAAATTAAATTGAGAAACTTAGAAACTCGACATCAAAAAGAACGTGTACGTATTAATACAAAAACCACAAATCCACTTTTTAATAAAATTGATGGTGTGGTATTCATAGAATTGATACAAAATGCATATTCTGTTGTTTCAGAACAAAACCGTACCAATTGTCACCTTCACACGTTGAAAGTTGCTTTTTGTTGTATTCTTTAAATGACACTAGAAAACGACGATAAATTTACACACGATGTTGAGATAACCGATCCTGTATTATCTGCAATAATTGATTCCTATTGTGATAATTGATTATTTTTCGAAATGACAATTACAATTTTTTATTACCGAACTTTTTAGTGAATCGTGTTTTGCTTTTTAGGACAAAAATGGGGTTTTCCAATATGCCAGATTTAAGCTTACAAACAATAAATTATACTATTATAATTATAAACAATTAAATAATAAACTAATACATTCAAATTGATTTACTTTTTGGTACACGTTTATATGTTCATTGGGTATTGTTGTTATGCCATCCTGTCTTTGAGAATTGATTCACCCTATTCCAATTAATGTTGTCTAGGAACTTTTCTCCTCTTCAGTACTTAGATATTTTGTTCCTCTTCTGAATATTTTCTACTTCCACCAAGATCTGTACTCAAGTCTGTTTCAATAAAAATTACTTCTCTACCTTTATCACTCACGTATTGTCGACACCATGCATTTCCTTACTCCTCATGCGCTTCAGCCTCCACAAGGATACAGTATCACTCTCTCTCATTATAATACCTTCCATTTTCAGGGCTCATCCATTCGATAGGTGAGTTGTTACTCACTCCTTAGCGATTTCCAACTTCCATGGCCATCAACCTGGATTCAATATGAATGAACACCTTTTATGGTTCTCCTCATGCAAGACTTGGATACTTTATCTGTATGTTCGGTTCATCCCGCATCGCCAGTCCTGCTTATTAAACTTGGCCGATTTGAAGTCCCATATGCTCACTCCTAATAAATTAGTATATTTTTGAATCTCTCGACTATTCATAGTTTGTTAAATTGTTGAAAAATCAAACTGTTTATCATGTCCAATCATTATCTTTACCAATCGTCACTACTTTCTCACTTCGACCTTCCCAAGGAATATTCAGGTGGAACCAGCTACTAGATAGTTCGATTAGTCTTTCGCCCCTATACTCATGTATTGCAAGTAATTTGCACGTTAACACTCCTAAGTCCTTCCACCAAAGTTTCCTTTGGCTTTAAACACCACAAGCATAGTTCACCATCTTTCGGGTCCCAACAGTTTAACTCCAGTCTTTTCTAGGTCACTCCTGCTATATGTATAGTCCTTCGTTTTCGCTTCATATATGGTTTTCTTCCCTTCCTCTCCTCGTGGGGAAAATGAAAACGTTTCTCCAAGAGGCATATATCTCAATTGTTAATTATTGTCAAATGTTTTTACAGATCATCTATTTATATTGTGTTTTTTCATTGTATTTTTGGTTTGTTTCATCTTATATTTATAAAATGGATTTTTTTTCAATGTAAAATAAAATAAATATTTTGGTCGAAAAAATAAAGCAAATATTGTTTGGATTTTTATCAAAATGAAAAACATTCTTCTCAGAAACACAAAGTTAATTAATAATACACAAAACAAAGATTGTTTTTAACACTTAAAATAAACACAGTTTTTAATATACAAATTTCATTTTAGTCTTAATTCAACAAACTATTTATTATGGTAATGTAATTATTGTTATTAATTCATTTTCTCTTTAAAAATTAATCAAAACATGACTGTTATTAATAAATTATTTAATTATTTACAACAAAATAGTGTTATTTTTTATGTAAAACACTCTATTTAAGAGGGACAACTTAATTTTATCAAATGCCATCACAAATTAAAAATACTTTAAAAAGCCCGTTTGTTGGTATTTTTATGTTCAAATTAAATACAATTGTGCAAAAAGAATTATCGATTGACAATGAAAACAAACTCATTTTGGAATTTGGAATTTATATTTAGTCAAATAAAGCAACAATAAATTTAATTAATAAACAATTAAAATAAATTATAATAAAACCATCTTCTTGTCTTCCTATTTAACTAAAAACAACATCATTTTTTAAATTAATCTTTTTTAAGCATCTTTTCAACTTAATAAAATGGTAAAAGGTTATATCTTTTTAAGTAAAATATATATATAATATCAAGCTATTTGTTCATTTGTGGTAAAATAGAATTATTTTTATCTTGTTATTACAAAACTATTTTTTACCAATTTATCGACTATAAAACTGTGGAACTATTTCCAAAATAAATATCATGACCCAAATATGTTTTTTATTATTAATATACAACAAAAAACGCATTTCTGAACAACAATTAAATTCATGGTTTTATCAAATTACTAGATATATATTGTATATTATATTAATCCATTATAATACATAATAATATATTATTATGTATAATATACATAATATATAATATATTTTATTCAAATAAGAAAAAAATGGAAATGGGGAAGAAGGATGGGAATATTAGGGAAGGAGGTAATTTGTGGTTTAGGGACGTCCTCCCGCTATTAAGGACTTCCTCCTGTGTATAAAATTATCCTTTTTGTTGTGTCTACTGTGTTTTTAAAACTATATAAAGAGTTATATTTTTATTATTAATTTACTATCAAAAATTATAATTATTTCCAAAAATACATTTCATCATGGATAAACGCAAAACAATTAGTAATTTTGTTACAAATTAATAGTTAAAAAACTAATTCAAATTTAAATTAGTTTTTTTGGGTCACTTCGAATAACTTTGCAAAGACAAGTAAATCACATAAGTCGACTTCCTCGATCTTCGGCTCCTTTGTGTCGCTCTTATTTGTGCCCAATTGTTGTGCACCAGACATGTTACCAGCTGCTGCATACTGTTGATAATTTTTGTTTGAAGATTGGCTTGATCTTCGCCTCAGCTTCTTCTGTTTCTGTGTGTATTCATCCTTTGATATTGATTGGTTCTTGTCGAGCCAGTCGAGTGTCTCCTTGATGGTTGCTTCAATTGCCGCCTTGTCGTCTGGTGAGAGCTTTGCTTCAATTTGCTAGTTGAGTGCGTTTTTCATCGAGTAGCAGAAGTTTTCAAGTATATTCTTCCCCTCAATAAGTTCCTTTATCTTGTCGTCCTCTGCCTTAAACTTCTCTGCGTCTGCAACCATCTTGTCGATCTGTTCCTTTGAGAGTCTTCCCTTGTCGTTGGTGATTGTGATCTTGTTCTTCTTTCCCGTTGTCTTGTCTTCAGCTGAGACATTCAGAATCACATTTGTATCAATGTCAAATGTGACTTCAACTATGGGACTCCACGTGCTCTTGTGAGTGACGTGTAGAAGTCGATGCCTTCATACAACTGGTCGACTTCGATGTTTGCTGTTGCTGCCGATGACGGTGTTCGCTTTGCCCTTTCACATGATGTTCTGAGTCTTCTGACTGCTCGTGCATTGCCTGAAATGTCTTTCTTGTACTTTCTCTTGAACTCGGCAATGAAGTGGTTGACCATTCTGTTATCAAAGTCTTCGCCACCAAGGTGTGTGTTGCCTTTTGTTGCCTTCACTTCAAAGACGCCATCGTCAATAGCAAGAAGTGAGACATCAAATGTTCCACCACCAAGATCAAAGATCAAGACGTTCTTTTCTCTCTCCGTCTTCTTGTCAAGTCCATATGCTATTGCTGCTGTTGGCTCATTGATGATTCTGAGCACATTGATGCCTGCAATTGTGCCTGCATCCTTTGTTGCCTGTCGCTGTGAATCGTTGAAATAGGCTGGACATGTGATGACTGCGTTGTTGACTTTCCCACCAACAAACGCCATTGCTGTCTCCTTCATCTTCGCCAACACCACCGAACTGATCTCCTCTGGTGTGAACTTCTTAGTCTCTCCCTTTTACTCCACCTGAATCAATGGCTTGTCATTGCCATCGTTGACGACAGTGAATGACCAGTGTTGTCATTCACTGTTGAATTGCTGGATCACTGAAGCGTCTTCCAATCAGTCTCTTTGCATCAAAGACTGTATTCTTCACATTCATCGCAATCTGGTTCTTTGCTGCATCGCCAATCAGCCTCTCGCTGTCTGTGAAGGCAACACATGATGACTTGTTCTGTTGCCCTGATCATTTGCAATTTATTAAAAATGGATTTCGCATGCCTTTTAACTATAGTATCTTTATCTCTCCAATAGTCACTGATGCATCATTCAATGCTATCAAACACTCCGCATTCGTTTTCCCGTCTTCATCCTTGACATTATCGATCACTACTAAATGAGTTGCGTGGATGAATCTAACAAGAGGTGATGGTATACTATTAGAAAAGTACATAAAATCTGTGTAACAAATTTTAACAGAGAGTTTCTCCCCAAATTTCTTCTCCACCTACATCGAGAACTTGAATATAGCAGCCGCAAACTTCTTCTCTGTTCGATCATTGATCATAGATCTTAGTTGAGACTATCAGTAACAAGTCTCCTTCAGTTTCAAAGGACTTGACATAAATCTCTTTTAAATGGTTTATCATTGTAAGACATATTTTTCTCAAAAAGTAAACTTGCTTGATTTGATAAACTTGTTAGATTTAAATTATAGTTTTCATAATATAATTAAATTTATTATAAATTAGATCTTAAAAATTAAATAATAATTATTTAGTATATTATATGATTAATATTAGTTATTGTATAATTAATTACCCATAATATTAAATTATGTATGTATTTATTAATTTAAAGTATAATTATATTTAAATTAGAGGGTGAGGTTTAGAAAAAAAATGTCGGTTGATTCTTTAATCATTCCAATAACCCTCCTTTTTGCCCGTTCACGGTGATGGGTGGGTCGTTTTATACTTTTATTTGATATTGTTGAAAATGAATTTTATTATAGTAAAACCCCTTCCCGAAATATTACAATTTTTAAGATTGTTTTATAAATAAAAAACCAACCCGAAATATTTGAGCTTTTTTGACTGTTTTATATATAAAAATATTCATTTAAACAAATCGAAATAAAAATTGGTAATTAGTTTTTCAGAGCATCCCCAACATCCATGTAAGCAACTTTCTTTTCAACGCTCATGTTTGCTCTATCAAGTTGTCCAATTTTATTAAAAGATCTTTCAACTGGGCAAGTGGTTGGACTCTTAGCATTCATTTTTTTCACAAGATTGAATAAACATGGGAATTGATTCTTTTCTTCTTGAGTCATCGAAGCAAACAAGGTGTTCAAAGTTAGTTTTTTGGCTGGGCAACTTTTTAAGAAATCTTCTGCTTCTTTTTTGAATAAAGCCCTTATGTGCTTTCTGTGTTGAATGGCGTTTGCTCTCTTTTCTTTAACAATTTCACTACTGCTGCAATCTTCAGCGATATCTGTTGCTTCTGTTTTATCTGTACTTGTTAATCTAACTTGTTTAACAAGAGTACGTATCGCCTCAGTAGCATCAGCCCTTTCTTTTCTTTTTAACCTGTTTGCAATTTCTTCGACTTTTTCAATGTTGGCACAGTACCAATCTTGAAACTTTTGAACTTCCGCTTTCAATTCTTGGTCATCACTTTCCTCGAATGATTTTGCATCAAAGTTGTTGTAAATTTTGATGTTTATTACCAATTCTTTTCCTTAGAGTTTTCTTTGTAATTTCCCGAAATTTGCCATATTCGTTCCTTTGACCTGGTTTTCCTTAAACAATCCAGCATCGAAGAGATCTTCTTTGGTCATTTTTCTTGAAGGAATTGCAAACCTCAAAATCATCGCGTCACTCAACTTAACGAGCAGGTGAATTGAATACTTTTTCAAAATGAATTTTTCGTTGTCGTCAAGTTCATCAGTGTATTTCATTTTTTCTAAATAATCGGTTAACACCACCTTACGTCTGAGCTCGAAGATATTCGAAATTAAATCTTCAACACGTTGATAGGCCACGGGGTATAGTAAATTGGCGGTCTGTAGCCAGTCGTTAATTATCTTCACCTTACTGAGCACTATCTGAGTGAAGAACATACACGCAACAAACAATTTGCAGTTGACATTACATTCACCCATAATGTTGCGAGGTCCAAAAGGCTTTTGGTATTGTTCTCTGTCACTGTAAAATTCTTGAAGTGAAGGCAGATTTTCAAACATGTTATTAAGAATCAATACTGTTTGGAGCCACCTTGTTTCGGATTGTTGAACTAATTTGAGAACTGCACCTTTGATATGATTTTTGGCACAGAATTGATCCCATGCTGTTCTTGTTGTCTGAACTGTTAACCCGTCCAAGAAACTTTCAATAGCCAGCCCCCATTGCGATTCAAAACACTTTTCAGTCGCTTTATTTGTTCTATGTGAAAAGCAGTAGTTTGAATCAAATCCGTTCAGCCCGTCTCTCTCTTTTGTTTTAGCCAGGAGTTTACCAGAGAGCCCACCATTTCGTATCAGAACATAAGCTCCATCAAAACAAGCACCAATGCATTTAATGAGGTCAGCATCCATCAATTCCAATATTTTCATTATCCAACTGAGCCACCCCGCCGCATCTGTTTTGCCGTCATAGTTTTCAATTTTGACTCTCTTTTCAACAAATGATCCATCTGAAAACACGAATCTTACAAAGAGAGAAAAGTACTCGACCCCACTGTACATTGCTGAATCGGCCATTAATGTATAATAGTCACACTGCTTGAAGATTAGTTGTAGGTCATATCTGGTTTTTTGGAAATTAACATAAATCTTCTTTGCATGGTTGAAGAACTCATAGCAGTGTTAACGACTTTTTTTTAGGAACATTGAACATTAGTAATATTATGGATATCAATTTTGACATAGCATCAATTTGATTATTTGTCAACCCACATGCTCCCATCATCAATGCAGCCATCATTGTTATAAAGCTGCCTCTTTCATTTCCAGCATCATTTGTTGTTGAATAATTATCAACATTTTTACCAAGTCGCCTTTGAACTTCTTTGTTTGTTTCTTGTGCGATGTACTCGGCGGAGTATTTATTCTCTGGTTTGAGGAGCTCTTTAATGTGTTTCATTTTTTCCAATTGTTCGATCTCAAACACAGTGAATTTTATTTCTTCTTTGGTCGAATCGTTGGTATTTTGAGATTTGTTCTCGGTAGCCTGGCTATAATCAACATGTGTCGCATTTCTTGTTTGAATTGTTGGAGGAGTCGGAATACAATTTGTAATAGCAAAAGTTTTTAATAAAGTTCCAGAGTCCACAATACCAGTTGAATTTTTTGAAACAACATCTTCACAATTAATAATAGGAACATCAAAACTTTTACTGATATTGTCGAGTGCTTCTTGTGTTGACTCGCTGTGTAAAACAGAAATATTCATTTGGAAATTTTGATAATCGATGAGTGGAAGAACACGAACAGTTTCTTCCAATCCTTTCAATAAATATTTCTTGAAGTCTTCAAATGTAGTGTAACTTGTTTGTCTCAATTGTGACTCAAGTTCATTCCTCACTTTCAATAAATCGGCACCTCTATAAATGTTTGGCGAGAGGTCCATTTCATTATCAGTCAAACCACTTGATTTATTTTTTTCTTCTTCGACAAGCTGACTGTTGAGCGCAATCAAATTAAATTTGTCGAAATTCTCATTAAAAAATTTAAAATTGTGAACACTTTTAAATTTGTATGTTTCTTCGGGTTTTGCTTCCAAAGAGTGTTTCGTGTATTTACGTCTATTAAACATTTTTCCACAAAAAATACAATAATGAAATTCACTTAGACGATTTTCAGGAAGTTGTGTTTTCAATTCAAAAGTAAAGTAATTGCGGAACTCTTCAAAACGTTTGTTGATATTTGAATCTTGCATATGTTTGTTATTTTTAAGATAATGAAGACAATAAAATACAAAAAGTTGTATATTTTATATATTTATAGTATTGGTTTTAACAATAGTATTATTTTTTATCATATAATTTGATTGTGTTTTCATTAAAAATTATATATTAAAAATATTTTAATATATCATAAAATACAAATATATTATAAATATATGTAATTATATTTTGGAATAAATTTACTTGGATATACTATAAATTATAAAATCACATATTATAATTTTTTATATTGAATATAACTTAAAATTAGTAATAATCATATTTAGGATAAAAAGACAATTGTTAAATTTTGGTAAATAAAAGGAATAATCATGTTTTTAAAGTGGTAAAGATAAGTTGAATTTGCAAATTCACCAAAATGCTCAACTTTAGTTATACACGACTTGAAAACGCGTTGAAAAAAAAATCAGGCAAAAAATGTTATTTAAATATTGTGTGTGTTTTACTGTGGTATGTATGTGATTATAAACATGATACCTCAGTTATTTTATCAAATTGTTTTAAGACTAATCTATATAAACAGACTCAATTTTATAATAATAAGTTTATTAGTAAATTTCATTAATTATTTTATTTACTATATTACAAAATATGTTTAGATTATAAAACTTTTAATAAAACAATATATTTAGATTATGTAATAATATAATATTTAAAACAACTCAATAATATTTTTAATAATCACTAAAATAGATTTAAAACTTTTGATTTGATAAATATTATTAATTAATAATAATATTTATTGGTTTATTTTTTTTCTTTAATAAAATAACTATTAATATAATTTTATTTTATTAATCTTTTATTGTTTTATTATTATAAAACTAAATATTTATAATTTTAATTATTTAAATTAATATTTTATATAATTTAAGTAAATTTAATTTTTTGGTAAATAATAATAGTTAATTAATTATACTATTATATATCATTCTATACTTATAAATCTTACATAAACAGACAAACCGTTTTTATACAAAATTAAATTATGAAACATAGTAAAATATATAATAACTTTAATATGTAATAATGAAAATTATATTGAAAAAATACTGCAAAAATTCAATCATTGACTAACCAAGGCTTCTACTTGTAATGCGTTATGGATAAATGGACTTGTTACATTTATCAAATTATGCAAGTTACGATTCTGTTTGTCGATTTGTTTTCTTTAAAACAAAAGAATGAATTAAACAACTTTAAATTGTGTTATATATCTTTTAATCAGCCCACGGTATGTAAAACTCTTGTATATCAACAAAATAATATTAACAACTGTTCAATGTTTGAAAAATTAATCCAAAAAGCAATAATATTTGAGTGATTTCATTTAACTATATTTTAAAAAAAGTATAGTTAATAACAAATTTTATTTTAATAAATTAAATTATTATTTCATCTTTATTAAACAACTTCTAATATTTTATAATATTATAAATTATAAATAATTGTTTTATTTTATATAGTATAAATATTATATTAATAAACCATTGATTTGTATACTATACATTTTAATATTTTATAGTTTAAATGTTAACTGTCGTTTTAAGCAGAAAAACGACCGCGGCAAAAAGTCGCCATCTGTAAAGAAAAGGTTTTGGAGATCGTAAAAACAAACAATACTATGAATTTTACTAAAACTACTTTATTTTTGGCACAAAAACAAAGAAAATATACCCCTTTTCATTTTAAAATGCATTTTTGGGACAAGTTCCAAATTTTTCCCTGTTCCGTGATAGACCCTGCTTCAAATCAAAAAGAAGTTCAACAAAGCAACTTAGCGCAAAACTGACAAAAACCCACTTTAACCACTTGTTTAAAATTAAAAATAAAACTTATTACCAGATAGATATTTTTCAATGATTCCATTAATTCTTTAATAATTTGAAAGTGATTATTGGTATAAACAACATGAGTTTTATAATTGTGTAAATATTAACCATCTCAATATGTTTTTATTTTTGAATACTCCACAGCCTCCACATTTCATTGTATTGAATTCTTCAAGAAATTGTTTATTACCATTTGTGGATGGTTATAAATACATTCCAACTGATTCGAAAAGAATCGTTTTTAAATGTGCAATTTCTGGCTGTCGTAAAAGAATTAAAGTTGAGTATCAAAATAGTGCAATGGTAAACGCCACAGAAACTGGATGTATGAAAGTTTTACCGCACGAACATGATTCTACATCATATTATGATACTTTGTGCTCTTTAAAAATGAAAGAAGCAGCCAAAAGTATTAATTTTAAAAACAAAACTACCGCTGAAATTGTAGGAAACAATTATGTTCAAGGCTCCGTTAAAAGGCTGTCTGCTTGTGCAAGAACCATTCGATTGGAAAAGGAAATAGCAACAAATCCATCAAAAATTGAAGAAATTACTTTTACTGAAGAAGAAATGACATTTCTGTTGTTTAGAGACGAAGACATGTTAATTTTTGGAAACAGGAATTTGTTTGAGTTTTTCATCAATGCAAACGTGATAATGATGGATGGGACCTTTAAATCGTGTCCTAGTTTGTTTTAGTTAAGACTTTGTTGTTTTAATAATAATTGAATTGTTTGTGAATGTCAGTTTAAACTGATTTACAGAGCTATTTTCACAACTGTACACTTTGCACGCTTTAAAAAACGGAGAGTCTTTCCCCGTTTTTTATGCCTGTTTGACATCTAAAACAAAAGAGACTTATTCCAAACTATTCAATCAAATTGAAAGATTGTGTGATAAAGAAGTGTTTCACAATAATGTTGTCGTTATGGGGGATTTTGAGGTTGTACATTTTAAAGACCTGTTTGGAAGTGAGGTGACAATAAAATGTTGTCATTTCCACTTTTGCCAATCTCTGTACAGGAGAGTATTGACAATGGGATTGTCTCGCCGTTTTGTGGAAGGAGACACTTTTAAGTTGGGTGTCAAAATGCTCATGGCAACTGCTTATTTACCAGAAGACGTTATTGTTGAAACATTCAAAAGAATCAAAAGTGAAATGGGTGGTGATGAAGATTTTGAAAAGTTTCTAGAGTATTTCGAAAACAACTATATCAAAGGCGTGTTTAGAACAGCAAATTGGTCGGTGTTTGGATTATCTGAAAGAACAAATAACAGGTCAGAAAGTTTCCATTCCGCACTTAACAGATACATCGGCACGACACATCCAGTCATCCATAAGTTTTTGGAAAAATTGTTGTCTTTTCAAAAAATTATCAATTTGAAATATCAAGCATATGAAACTAACCTTCAAAAAAGTCGCCAATCAAATTTGTCGATTAAGAAAAATTTGACATTGAAAGAACTACAAAATTAACTGATCAGCGAAAACAAACTTGACCCAATTGTGTTCCTTAAAAAATGTGTGACCATTTTATCTAGCAAGCAAAACATAATTCTCTTTGATTTGGACATGAATACTGCAATCAAAGAAGTCAACGAAGAAAATGAATTGATTGAAATTATGAAAAAAGTTCACTTACAGAAGTTGCCAACAATTATCATTTTTGCCATTCATCGCATAATGAAATAGAAGATCCACACAGCAGTTTAAACGAGAGCACTTTTGTTTCTGTTAATATGGAAAAAGATGTTAACACTACAAATGACAGGTTAAAAGACTTGAAAAAGAAGACTAAAAAAGCAACTAAAGCTCACAATGAAAAAAAGCCAAGAATAGTGTCTGATTATCAGAAAACTAAAAAGTTAAGAAAAGTGATCAGAAAAAGCAGAAATTAATAACTGGTTTTTAGTGTTTGGTTTGAAAAAGTTTGGTGATATTAAAACATATTATTAGTAAAAATTATATAAAAAAAGAAACTTGATTCATAATTGTTTAGTGTTGAACTTTTGTTGATTTTTTGCAGGCGAAAAAAATACAGGCGAAATATAATCGGGCGAATTTTCCTAAACCCTTTGAATAATATTTGAAATTATAAAGGTTCTTTTTTAAAGTCTACTAAATAACGTTTACAGATAAATAATTTTTTATCTGTAAACAAATCAACTCATTGAATCGATTTGTTTTAGATTTATTAAAATATTGTAAAAGTGTGCATTTTGGTATCAATTTACTTTAATGAGAATAAAATATTTGCAAAATTAATTTATATGAAAATGTTTATTGAAAAATTGAAAAATGTTAGTTTTAATGAATACAATATACGATTGTTTAATATCACATATAGCTTGAGCACTTATATTATAATTAAATATTTAATTGTAAACAATACAACTTCAACAATTAAAAGACGTCAATTTATCATAACAAAAACGGGTGACTTAAAGAAATAATGATACAAACATAATTTGACAAATTTTCAATGATTTTAAGCAAAAATCAATTGAATAAACTCTTTTACAAAAATCCCACTATATTCTGTAAAATATTTTTTGATTAAAATATTATTATAAATAATATATTATAAATAGTATTAATTTTTAATAAGTTTTACAATTTTATTTTTTATTAATAATTAAAACCCCATAATTAAAAATATAAAAATCGTTATATGATTAATAAAAAATATAATAAATGATAAGCAAGTGATCGAGTGTGACCAACTAAATTCGTCACCAGAAACCAAATGCAAGAAGATTCATTTGGCTAAGCTCGTTTGAATAAGACTGATGCTCGTTGAAGTAAAGAAAGCCCTGTCCTCTTGACGCCTTTGATCTGCCCGTCGGGCTAGAGGTCTTTGGCCGAAGCAACACGGCTATATTTTTATAAAGTACATTATTGACAAATATTATTAATAACTTAAAAATAACATTTTTTATGTAGAAATTTTTGTATAACGACCAACAAAATTTAATTTTATACTTTTGAACAACTGTTTATTAATATAAATCATCAATTTGTCCAACAATGATAATTGAATATATTTTTAAAGTCAGCAATATTTGACTAATCTGGGATGTAATAGAGTTACAGTGAAAAGGATGGCTCGATAAAATAAACCATGTTTTATTATAAACAACCATTTATCATATATTTCTATTTTCATTGTTAGTGCTTGGCAGTTATTTAACTGATTTTTAACTGATTTTTTTTCCTGAAAAAAGACGTAATTATTATTGAAAATAACGTGAAAAGGGTTTTATCAAATTGCTTTTTTTTGATATCACGGGTTCTATAAACTTGGAGTTGCTCAGCACTGAAGTGATAATTTGAAGTATTGGGTGCAATACTTCAAATTCCATTTGAATAGTTTTCGAAAAATCTTTTTTTAACTCTCTGTGTTTGATGTAAAGTTCTTTAATTGTTTTGTGTGCTTCGGGTGTTATTTTTTGGTACGTTTTCTTTGGTTTTTTAAACTAAAAGGCATCATGATAAACAAGAATTGTATTTTTTTTATGATTGTTTATATGTATTTATTTTGAAACACTAAAATTATAATAATTTTTTATTGATAATAATTATATAGTTAAAAATAAAATGATGATTGCAAAAACGTTATTTTTATTTAATGTTGCTAAAATAATTACAATAAAATAAAGAATTTTTTTCAAAATTCTTTTCAAAACATACAAATAGACAGCTTTTTATGCAAGAAAACCCACAAATAAGCGACTTTGACTGTATTCAATTTGAAAACAATCACAACAGTTATATTTTCTTTATTGTCTTTTAAAATCCAATAATGTTTAATTATTAATGGTTTATTACCTCTTATTAGTCCAAATATTCAATATATATGATCTACTTATTTATACAGATATCCACATTTTCAATAACTAAAATGGTTGTAAAAATTATTGAAATTTTAAATTTAATATGAATCTAACAGTTTTAGTTTGATGCCAAACTTTTAACAACAAAAAAGTTTGCAAGTTTTATACTTATATAATTTTTGAAACAGTCTGTTTTATGTTAATACACATACGATTAACAATATATACAGTTATAATCGAATCGAAATTAAATATTTTAATTGATCATTCCTGTTCTATTTTTATTTATATTTTGATATCATTAAAATACATTTTTATTATTTTGAATAATATTTAATTTTTAGTAAAAAAGTGTTTTCAATTATTCACACAACAAAATAATCAACACTATTAAAAGTTTAAATATATTAATAATAGATAGACATAACTGTTAATACAAATGTAATTGTTAAATTAATTTTTGGTTGAATAATGACTGTTAATGACATTGTTATTTTTAAATATTGATTGTAATTTTATGTATTTGCATTGAAGATTTGTTAAAATAAAGAAAAACAAAATATAAACAATTGTCATCAATTTCATTGTGTAACTACTTCTATATCCTCAATTTTTGTTCAACAATTTTTCGTTGATAATGATGTGCAAGCGAGATATTATATCCAAATATTTTTTAACAATCGTTTTATCATTTTTTATATTACAACACAAAAAGTGAACATGTATATTTTGATAATACTACAACAATTATGATTAATAAAAATGGAAGTATTTATTAATTAATAATTTTCATTAATTTGATAACAACAGTTAGTGTATTGGGTTTTTACCGTTTATTGCTACTCTTTTGATTAAAAAAGCCAAAAAAATAAAAAAATGTTAACTTTTTAGTGTGTAAAATGTTACATCAAACTAAAAGTTTAAAAAATAAAATAATATTAAAAGAATATCACAGTTTACACCAATTTTAGGTTTTTACTTGTAACTCACTCAAATGTGTACATAAGATATTAAAATCATTTTTAGTAGTCTAAGGATAAACATGAATTAAAAACAATAGTTATGTATTTTTTGTTAACATATTTCAATATTGTTGTTGATATGTTGTCAACGAAATGTTTTTAAACAACAAATATGTATTGAAGTTGTAATTTATTGTGAATTTACCCACTTTTGTTTAAATGTCAAAATGATTTTACAAAACAATCAAGTTCAAATACATAAAAGTCGTAATTTTGTGTCTATTAATTTCAATGTATATGTTAAATATATTCTTTTTTAAATGTTATATTAATATACTATTTATTGTACCTTATTTATATATTACTGTCCATATAATGAAAATTAAATTTATTGTTGTGTTTTTGATGTTTAAACAAAGTAAAGTGTAAACTTCTCTTGGTTTATGATTTGAAACATATGGACTGTTACAATGTTTTATATTTTTTTAATTTGGTGTTTTTGTTGTTCATTAAAATACAAAAGATGTAATAATTATGTTTTTTATTGATGTCATTATTCTCCAACTGTTTGTATTTTATTATAAATTTGTTCAAATGTATTGTATTCCAGACAAATCAACAGCTTATATCGTCATTGTTTGGCACGTTGAATGACCAATGCTAGACATTTTACAATACATTTATTTTAACAATAAAATTCAGAATTAAATAAAAAATAATAAAACAACAACTTTGTACAGTAATAAGTATTAACATAATTATAAACATGTTGAAAGATAAATTGAAAAGTTTATAATATCAATTTTTCAACATGAATCATTTTTCATTATATGTAAAAATATGTTAATTGTGATGCAATTTTTATTCTATGTTGAAAATTGAACATAACCTTCTATGTAGATGATGCGCATAATTCATTTTATTCAAATTATATGTTTATAATTTATAATGAATATATAATTCAATTATTGAAATATTTTTAATGATAAGATTTCAAAAAAAATTATTGTTTAATTGTTTAATTGTTAAATTGTGTCGTTTTTATTATAATTGAAAATTCATCAATTCATAGAATTAGTAACTGTTCTGTAAAGACAAACACATATTGTACAATGAAAATCATTTGAACATGGTTATATTAATTAATTATAGTTAATTATTTACATTATTATGTGTTAATTTGATATGTAAAAATTGTTAATAACATTAAAATGTTATTTTTAATAATAATAATAATAATAATAATAATAATAATAATAATAATAATAATAATAATAATAATAATAATAATAATAATAATAATAATAATAATAATAATAATAATAATAATATGTAAAATTTTGCTGTGTTAATTTTACAAGAATATTCAATATATATTTTTAAAATGTTAATTGTTTTTTTGTTATTTAATTTTATTTTTTCAATGTGTTAATAATAATAATAGAAAATATGTTAATAAAATTAAATGTTAATTTTATCTTTTTGTTAATTTAAATTCTGTTATTATTGTGCTAATAAAACATAAAAAATCGATAAAAAATTACAAATTGTTGATTTATCAAAAACAATTTGATAAAAATTATTGATTTTTCTGGAATCACAATTCAATATTCCTAATGTCCCGTCTATTTGCGTATTTTTAAAAATGGCTTTACCAAAAATAATTTATTGCCGCAAAAAA